TACGCGATAAATCGAAAGAAAGAAAAATAGCAAAAATACTTCAAGCTTACCATCAACGAGACGGAATTCTCGGGGGAATTTATAGCAAATATTAAACCAAGAATTAGGACAATCAACCAAGATTTGACTATAAAAACAATCAGAGAACCTCCACGGAAACTACTTTCCCATGTCCTCACACGTAGCCAAGAATGGAAGTACCACGGAACAAGGATTCCTCAGGAACTAATGCAAAATTCAAAGTCGTGTTTATAATAGGAAATGTAGATGTCTCTCAAACGGACCCAATGAAAGTAATTACAGGGGAAACTACCCATAAACGACGGAGATATGACTAAAACTCCTGCAAAATGAGGACAATGTCTAAAAGGCAAGCGCGAAGATTAACCAGTAACGACCGAGACAAGCTTGATGGCCCATCAGAAAGGAAGAGATCTAATCTTAATCCTCCCAAATTTTCATAATAAAAGGATCATGCGTTAATGAGATATCCAATAACGGGACTAGCGACATCAAAAGTCCGAGCTCAGGGAAAAGACGATGTTTGCGTAGGATCCATAATTAAAACATACAACGAAATTTACACGGAAATTATTAAAAATGGGGAACTATAGTTATGCAAATTTTCAGCCCAAACGGTCCAGCCATTGTGAAGTTATACCCATGACGGGAATATAGAAATCCGCATCATGTGTAATGACACGTGAGGGTGGTGATGCACAGGGAACCAGCCGTCGGAACTGAGATCCGCACTTCGGCAGATCGTGAAGACCAATTTCCGTCCAAATAAGGAAGAGCCTGGTCAAAACAAAGCACGGAAAGTGCAAAACAACCTTAGATCATGAGGGAAAAATCTGAAATAAATCACAGAAGCCCATATGAAAGAAATAAAAACCTGCACATATCATAAATCCCGAACAATTAAACGGAAACGGCGCCCGCATACGAACGACTATGGGAACGATGCACGTGATTACCAAATGTGCGTGCGAACTTTTGCTAACTCAACGAATACCAGGAAATAGGACACAACCTTAGTACCATTGGAAAGGTGGGAATAAATGAAAATTTATGATACCAAGAACGTGAGAAAACATCCAGAAATGAATGAGATATAGGGACATGAAGTTAGAAACCTGAAAATGCGCGGGAAAACAGCTTCAAGAGGTCTAGAGTCCTAAATAAAATACATAAAAATATGATATCTTCAAGGAAGACCTACTATAACAACAAACAATACATATGGAGGATTAGGATGTGATAATACAAAGGGGAATCAGGGAATATGAACGAAATTCACAAAAACCACTAAACTATGACGGACCATGGCGGGAATTTTAGGGAACAATGTTCTAATAAAGTGGAGAGCTATAACACATTTGTTTGAGTAATTCTTGACTACTAGCAACTTTTTCTTTCAGTTTTAAACCTGAATAATCCACTCATTTACCATTTCAGTCTCATTTTAACTAAATGTCACTAAATAAAATTGGAATAAATCAGCTGAAGGTCTCAGCACAGCCGTACACATAGTAATGCGAAGTTTGAATTCAGAATCATCGAGTCATAGCAAATTTAATGGTATATATATAGAATTTGAAATAGGTAACTGTGACAAATACAGCGCAGCCAAGTTCTAATTAACCATTAAAATAGCTTAGGCGAGGGAGGACAATAAGGATTCTAGGTGCAGTCTGTCCGCAGTAGAACCGCAGTTCAGCACAGCAAAAGCGCAGTAGAACTATAGCGTGAAAATTTCATTTTTTATTCAGTTTGAGAAAAATACACTGTAAATAAATCCTGTAAATAGAAGGTAGAGCGTGAAAAAGGAAGGCAACCCAAGGAGTATAAAAGGGAGACCCTTTCTGCGACTTTTCGCCCCCCTTAGAGAAGTAAGAAAATAGAGTATTATTTTTCTCAAGCATTTCTGGTTGTCACTCCAGTGCGAAAAAGTGATATACAGTTGAGATTGCCACTGTAGTAAAAGGCAGCAATTAAGGAGAGAAATATTAAGTAGATATTTCAACAGGAGAGCTGGTTAACACTCCAGATTTCAAAGTGTAAACACAAAACAGTTATCTTGCTACTGTTAAAACAAGCAATAAAATAAGACAAAAATGAAACAAACTCAAGGGACACTCCAGACACAATCCAAATCCATTAACTGAATAGAATCTTTGAAACTTCACCAAGTAGAAGATTAAATTCAAGTTTAAATCCAAATTAAACAACGCTACACAGAATTACACCTAGAAAAATTAAGACATTTCAATAAAGAAACAGCTCCGCAGGGCTCGGTTTATCTGTAAGTCAATTCCCAGGAACTTTAAAACTAACCCATAAAAATAGAATTAGCCAAAACACTCGGATTGGTACTATATTTACAATAAATAACACTAGTACACTTCCCCATCCTAACTAAAGAACCAGGGAACAGCTTGGTGGTGGTCTCGTTTGAACCTCCCAACTGACCTTCCTTCGTTCTCTCCTTCAGCACTGTGCCAAGTAACATGTCTGTGCCCTAACTTACTAACTGGCAACCAGAACTAAAGGGGGTAAACTCTAGTTGATTTTATTACTGAGGTGTAACCTATGTACAAGGTGAGTATATATAGTTACAACGAGGGTGGGCCCATAAATGGTGGGGCCGAGCGGAGCGGAGCTAACGGAGTTAAACATTAGCCAATTGAATATTACCGACAAGTCAGGTTACGGGTTAGCAGAATGGTAGGCGATAACCCAGAAATGGAAAGGAGGGATAGGCCCGAAGGTGGGCTTGCAGGGCAAGCGAGTGTATTGCCCAGCAGAGGTGGGAGTGTGCTAGCGGACGTTGGAGCTGTCTGGAAGCCTTCGGGGCTCTGTACTTAGGGAGGTGTAGGTAATAAATTGAAAAGAGGGGGTGGTGACCATCGAGGGATACCGAGGTGATTGCGGAATACGGGAGCTCCGAGGTTAGTGAAGAAGGAGCAGAGGTAGTCTGGAGAGATCGGAGGTAGTGGAAGTTGATGGCTGTGGATGGATATGACAAGAACGAGGAGTCGTACCTTGGCAGAGATTAGGTGGGGGAGAGTCAGGGGGAATGGAAGGTCAGGTCAGGTCTGAAGGTGGGGATCGGAATGGACAGGAATAGGGGTAAGACTCTGGAGGTGGTGGAAAGGGTCTGGGAGTTGAATTGGGATTGGGTATGGATGGATATGACAGATAATCAGAAATTTCCTTAATATCTCCACAACCACTGATCCAATTGGGCTGAAATTCTATGCTGGGTCTTTGGGTATTTTTCTGGATATAATGACCCAAATATTATCCTCTGCCACCAACTTTTGACCTCATTCCCATTGAGTCATGGTCAAGTGCATGGACTTAGCACAAGAGGACTCCTCAGCTTGAATTTCTCTGAACCAATTCCTTTGTGGAAAGGCTCATTTGGTTTGTATGAAAACCCTCTCTTTCTTTTTTATTGCCCCCTCCCATCATTCCTTTTCCCTAATAATGTACAAGGGCAGGAGCCCACTTTTTGATGTATTAACTGTGAAAGGTTCCACAAAAATGAGCACACCTGTCATGCCCTCCTACAGCATTGGATGCATCCATGCTACAGATGTAAGGAAAAGGGAGTCGTCCATATAGAGATAGAGAGGAAACAAAGGAAGGAGAGAGAGAAGGAAACAAGGAAGGGAGAGTGTAAGGAAGGGATGGTGGTTACTTTGGTACCACCTGTATTTACTTATGTATTGCCTGGAGTTGAGTGAAGGGAACTGGACTCTCCTCCTCATCACATCGAAATACTAAGTTCTTGTTGGAGACCGGATTGAGATGAGGGAGGTGTCTCCGTGGCGGAGGGCTTCGGCCTCAGCGACTCAGACCAGGAGCGCTGTGCCAAGTTACACATCCATGCCCTAATTTACTTACTGGCAACAAGAACTAAAGGGGGATCAACTCTAGTCGATTTTATCACTGAGGTGTAACCTATGTACAAGTTAAGTATATATATAGTTACAGCAAGGGTGGGCCTGTGAATGGTGTGACCGAGCAGAGCAGAGCTAACGGCATTAAACATTAGCTGACTGAATATTACCGACAAGTCGGGTTATGGGGTTAGCGGAATGGCAGGTGATAACCCAGAAATGGAAAGGAGGGATAGGCCCGAAGGTGGACTTGCAGGGCAAGCAAGTGAATTGCCCAGCGGAGGTGGGAGTGCGCTAGCAGACATCGGAGCTGTCCAGAAGCCTTTGGGGCTCCATACTTAGGGAGGCGTAGGTAATATATTGAAAAGAGGGGGTGGTGACCATTGAGGGAGGTGGAGGTGATTGCGGAATACAGGAGCTCTGAGGTTAGTGAAGAAGGAGCGGAGGTAGTCCGGAAGGATCGGAGGTAGTGGAAGACGATGGCCGTGGATGGATATGACAGTTCTATACAACCTAGCTTCCAACTGTCTTGAGGACTGAAGAGGCACTAAGGTCAGAACCTACACTGGCCTTACAGAGAGAGGGGAGGAGAGGCAGCATGCCCTGACAGAGACTCCATTCTCATAACAATGCAGTTGTACTGCATTTTTGAGGGAAACTGTCAATTTCCAAATGAATGGGGTATCAATATGGTTGTCAGAAATCAGCTTGAAAGTGATCAAATTTTGGGGATTTTTTATTTCCAACACAGTTAGGATTGTATTGTAATAGTGCTGCACTGCCATTCTAAGCTGCTGTGCTTGAGCACTTTTAGGCTTCGTTCAGGTTGAAGAAACTAGTTTCTTCAACCCATTTCTTCCAGTTTCTTAATTCATTATTTGTGTGTTTCTTTCTCACTTTTTTCTTCCTGATTCTTTCACTTTTGGCAAGAAATGGGAAGAAACTGATGACTGTTCAGTACACAGTTTCTTCACCATAGATCCTTTTATAAATTCTACAATGGAATGTAGTGACATTGAGACTTGTGAATTATGCCCCCAAAGTGGAAACACATTGACACAGATGTCAACACAACATCTGAAGCTCTGATCAATGGCAGCAAACGATGTTGACCTCCCAAAGGAGGACCCACTCATGCAGCCACTGCTCCTACTGAGACACCATCTGAGCGGGTTACTTGGAGGTCCCATGATGAGGCAGAGCTCATCCACCATCTTCTTGAAGTTAAGTGTGCAGGTGGTACTTCTAATATTGGCTTCAAGGACAAGGTTTGGAATGGTGCCTCAGTGCACTTACTTGAGCAGTGTGGGACAGTCTTCAAGCCCAGTGCATGCAAGAACAAATGTGGCAAGGTGAGTTGCTAGTTGCAGCATCTCAGCAAAGTATTGACTGTACCTTTTCTGCAGTTAAAACAGATATATTGGGCAGTCAAACAGCTCTCAGAACAGTCAGGCTTCCCCTGGAGTAATGAAAATGGTGCTGATCCTGGACCAGAAGAGGAGCAATTATGGATTGATTTTGTTGTGGTAAGTAGCTGCTAGCCCATATCTCTTATTTGTGATGACTAATTGCTAATAATGATATTTATATTACTAGGAGTGGCCTCTGGCTGCTCCATTCCATCAAAAAGGGTGGCCACTCTTTGATGAGATGGCAGAGATTAATCCTAAGCATGCAACAGGATGCCAAGCATTCCACACAACCAAGATGCCAGAGCCTGAAAGCGAGGTGTCAGGGCACACCCACCTGACCCACCTCCACCCAGGTCCACCTGACCTGGTACCCCCCTTCCTCCCCCCTTCTTTCATTCCATGTTCTTCATTCCTGTTCTTCCTCCTTTCTACCTTCTCTTCTATTTCTGTTTCTATTTCTATTCCTATTTCTATCTTACACAGATGACCTTCTTTTATATCGATGTATTATCAACCCACCTGTGACCATGTGCATGACATGCTCAGCCCCGGACAGTGTAACAGGGAAATCATCCCAACATCACACAGGCTTGCAGATGGGTTCCTTGGATTTGCAGTAGTGGTAGGACTTGATTCTCTTTCCTGCCACTGGGTGTTTAAAGACAGCCCCCTCTAGTTCTTGTAGAACAAAAGCGCCACTCTGGAGTCTCTTGACTATAATGTAGGACCCAAACCAACAAGGTTGGCCTTTCATATCATGTTGGAGCTTTATGCGCTCATTCAAGACTAAGATGAATTCTCCTGGCTTGTAATTGTCTAATTTCATGTGGTGGGCATGGTGCCAGTTATAGTCATCAGCAGCTTTCTTCCTAGACTCAAAGCTAGACTTTGCTGTGCGATCAAGGAATTCCTCCTTTTGACTAATTTGTCTGATCTGCATAGCTAGTAGCTCCTTGGTTGTAAATACCAAAGGCCAGTCTAACACATAAAATGTTTGATCTGTGATTTCAAATGGCATCAATGGATGTTGTCCATACAAAAGAAAGTAGGGTGTGTATCCTGTGTTGTGCTTAGTGGTGGTGACACAGTCTGCCCACAAGGCATATCAGGCATATCCAACCAGGTCAGGCCATTTGTCAGTGCATCCTTTTAACATGTGCCATATACTTTCAATCCATACACCATGGCCACATTCAACTTTGCCATTGGAAGCTGGGTTATAAGCAGTGGTTTGCATGATGGGGATATTGTACTTGTTGAGTAGAACTTGAGTAGCACCAAGGAATTCACTCCCATTGTCTACTGCAAGCTGGATGATGCAGCCATATCTACACATGACTTCGAACAGAAATTTGGTGACAGTCTCAGACTTGATGTTCTTGAGAGCTTTAGCCTCTGTCCATCCGGTTAGGTTATCCATGAGGTCAACAAGATACTTGTAGCCTCCCTTGCCTTGCGGCATCGCAACAGTGTCGGCATCAAACCATCTAAGTAAAGTCCTCACATATTGAGGCTGGATTGGAATGGTGTTCTTTTGCATTGATCACAACTGGCATTCATGGCATGTCCGACAGTACTGCTCAACATATCAGTACATGTTAGGAAACCAATATGAGTTGCAAATCTTGCTAAAAGTGGGGTCTCTGCCCTGATGACTGCTGTCATCATGGGTGTCTTTGACAATTCTCTGACAAATTTCTTTGTTGAGTACTACTAGAAGCATCGGCTTATCTCAGTTGCACTTCCACCATTTTCCTTCATACAGGAAAAACTGCTTGGCTCTGTTAAGAAGTCATGCTGCTTCTTTCTTTTCAGTGGGCAAGGTGCCCTTGGTCAGGAAGGCAAGGATTGTCTTCCAATATTCCTCAGAATCATAGTCATCTATACGATGTGGATGCTTAGGTTGTCTGGATTCCTCAGGACTTTGTTCCTCAAGGATTTCACCTTCACAAAAGTCAAATGGGTTACTAGAAATAACCTTTGCCTGGGCTGGCTCTTTCCAGCGGACCTCAAGTGGCATGCACTCGCCTATGCAGCAATATAGCCTTGTGTCACTGACTTTGGAGTCTTCTTGGGAGTCAGACTGTTGGCTGTAGTATTCGATCATGCTAACTTCCCTAGTCTCCTCATCAGGGAGAGTGTGGAGAGGTCAGACAAGTTTCAGAGACCGGATCGAGACCAAGGAATTGTCTCCATGGCGGAGGGCTTCTGTCAGGGACCGACCCGGGGTCGAGAGTGCCCGGGTATATTGCCCGGGGCTGAGGGTCCGGTAGGTATGACGCGGGCCCACATAACAATGGGCCCGAAGCAGATGAGGGTCCCTGGCCACTCAGGCTAAAGTGGGAAATGTGAGAAGAAGGTTGCTTCTCAGTTCCCACTGTTAGAACTGGGCGAATTCAGACAACTCTGGAGTGGAATCGGAGACTTAGCGTGGAGGGACCTTGGCCTCAGCGACTCAAGCGGAGCGCTGTGCCATTGCTGTTTGTCCATTTGGTCCTTAATTTCACAGTAGGCGAGCAGGAAGTCTCTAGGGGGCATTTCAGGTCGATTTCGGACTGAGCCCGATACGAGTATGTACAAGTGCCGATATATATAATGGAGGGGGCAAAAGCACAAGGAAACAAAGGGGATCCGAATCGGAACGAAGACGTCCGAACGGGAACAAAGGGTAGACAGAAGCAGAGTGGTACCGAAGGTCATAAGACAGAACCTGTGATACGTCTGAAAGGAGGTAGGGAGGGCGAGGCCCAGAGGGGCAGGAGGATGGTGAGAAGTGGGGGTGATGACTAACTGGCTAGAATGGGAAGAAGCAGCAGTCCAAATAGGGATGAGGGGAAAACGCGAGAGATACATTACAAGCGGTGAAAGTGCCGAAGGTGATCCGTGAAGCTCGGAGGTTGCGGAGCTTATGGAGCTTACGGAGGTGGGGTTGAAAGTCCGAGGGATATTGGCAATGGTGTTTACGTAGTATGAGGTCACCAATGCAATGGACTAAGACCGAGGTGGAGTCAAAGTCTGAGGTAGGGACTATGACAGAGGCTCGGAGCAAAGGTACGATCGGTGCCTGAGTACGAAGTACGGGACAGCGGTGGAAGGTTGTAACTTGGCAGGAGGTCGGCGGGAGAGTACCAGAGGGGAGAGGGAGGAGAAAGGGAAGAGGGAAGGAGTGGCGGAAAGGGGAGTTGTCAGGTCCGAAGGTGAGTATCGGAGCGGACGGGAGGAGCGTAGGAGGATGATGGAAGGGTGGAGGTTTTGTGGGGGCGGAGCGGAGGAGTAGGAGGAGGTTGGCGAGAGGGGCGGTGTTCAGTCCAAGGTGAGTATCGGAGCGGACGGAGATAGGGGAGGAGAGGGAAGGAGGTGTGTTGCCAGGACCGAAGGTGAGTATCAGAACGGACAACAGTAGGGTAAGACTCCAGAGGTGGGGAAAGAGGAGGTCCGGAAGTCGGGTTGGGATCAGGTATGCACGGATATGACACCCACTTAGGCTGTGTTTATATACATGTGGTTGAGGCCATGTGGGAAGCGCCACGTCATCTACGCACACAGCCGCATCCATCCGGGTACCTCCGTAAGAGGTCCTAGGAGCGTCCAGTATGCGGGAGGTCATCCGGTGTGTCCGGGTCCGGGCACATTACACTGCAGCCGGGTCAATGGTACATTGATACAAAGGAAGTCGTCCGTGTGATAAGAAAAGAATAAAGAGGAAAGAGAAGAGAGAAGAGAGGAAAGAAGAAAGAGAAGAGTAAAAGGGGAAGAGGGGGGAGGTCGGGAGGAGCGGATGGTGGGGGGCACCGGGTGAGGTGGGGCCAGGTCAGGTGGGTGTGCCCTGACATCACCCCCTCCTTAAGCCACTTCGCCTCGAAGCAGCCAGGTGGTTCTCCCTCTCTCTCCCTGGGGCTTGGGGGTGCGTTCTGTGGAATTCCTGAATTCAGTCGGGGGCGTGGGTTAAGTGGTCCCGCTGGAGCCACTGGTTCTCCGAGTTTGGCCAGCCTGTGAACTTTACCAGGTACCAGAGTTTCCGGCGTAGCCATTTGGAGTCCAATACCTTTTCAACTTCGTACTCCTCTTCTCCATCTATGAGTTCCGGGCCCAGGCGGGGGTCGAGGGGTCGTTCTGCGATTTCATCCAGGCGGTGTGGCCTGATGTTTGTTACAGATACAACCAGGTGGTGTCAGAGACCAGATTCGAGACGAAGGAGTGTCTCCATAGCGGAGGGCTTTGGCCTCAGCGACTTCTGCCAAGAGCGCTGTGCCTAGTGACACGTCCGTGCCCTAACTTACTGACTGGCAATCAGAACCGAAGGGGGGTAACTCTAGTTGATTTTATTACTGGGGTGTAACCTATGTACAAGTGGGATATATATATGGTTACAGCGAAGACGGGTCCGCAATTGGCGGAGCCGAACAGAGCGGAGCTAACGGAGTTTAAACATTAGCCAACTGAATATTACCGACGAGTCGGGTCGCAGGGTTAGCAGAAAGGCAGGTGATAACCCAGAAACGGAAAGGGGGATAGGCCCGAAGGTGGGCTCTGCAGGGCAGGCGAGTGTATTGCCCAGCGGAGGCGGGAGTGCGCTAGCGGACGTTGGAGCTGTCCGGAAGTCTTCGGGGCTCCGTACTTAGGGAGGCATAGGTAATAAATTGAAATGAGGGGGTGGTGACCATCGAGGGGTACCGGAAGGATTGCGGAATACGGGAGCTCCGAGGTTAGTGAGGGAGGAGTGGAGTTAGACCGGAGGGATCGGAGGAACCGGAAGTCGATGGCCGAGGATGGATATGACAGGTGGATTCCTTTCTGTCGTGCGGTGAGTTGGAGTTTGACAGCAGCAGGGGAGACGACTTTGACTATCTTGAAGGGGCCGAGCCATTTGTGGTCTAGTTTTTTGGTGGGGCGGTCGGTTGTGTAGTTCTGGGCATTGAGCCAGACTTGGTCACCCTCTTGGTATTCGGGGGCTGCTTCACGGCCCCGATCGTAATAGCGGGCCATCTTGTCTGCTGCATGTTCTAGCGCCGCCTTCGCCTCCTCCTGCATTTTCATCATCCTTGATGAAAAGGCATCAGCAGCCTCTACTTCGGACATACGGGTGGGTTCTGTCCCCATCCTGGGGTGTTGCCCAGTGTCGAGTTCGAAGGGGGTCCGGTGGGTGGACGTGTCATGACCCGACATATCCGTCACTTCTGTCAACGTGTCCTATTGCCACTTGGCCTGTCCCTCCCACTATCATCATCATCCGTCCACCCACCCGTCCACCTGTCACCCTCATCCGCACTTCCTCCCTCGCGTGCGTACCTTCCAACCTAGGTTGCCCGCTTCATTGTTGTCCGCTCGCCAGCCGGACGGCTTGCTAGATGACCGGATGGTTCTTTCTCTTTTGTCCTCTTGCGGACTATTGTTCTTCCTTTTGTTCCTTGCTTGCCTTTTGTTGACCAAGTTTGCCGATATTAACTATTTGTTCCTTTCTTCATTCATTAATATCACGCTTGATCC